ATGGTATACATATTGTTTGTTTTTTCCCGCTGGTTTCTCCACTGTGGTATAAGCAATACTTATTGATATGCTAAGCAATCTTTGTTGATATGCTGGATTAATATCTCCGAAGTATTGGATTTTGATGTACTAGCTGATACAGAGCAGGATAGTATACATGTTTGCTTTTTCATGTTGAGTGGTCCACTGTGATATGTTAATCAACAGTTGTTGATATACTGGATTAATATCTCTAAGATGTTGGATTTGATGCATTAACTAATACAGAGTAGGATGATTACATATTGTTTGTTTGTTTCTGTTGATTGTTCCAATATGGTATGCTAAGTAATACTTGTTGAGGTGCTAAAGTAGTGATTTTGGATTGTTGTCTTGATTCCTTGATATAGTGGTACAAGAATGAGATTATGCGGGTGTCCAAAAAACTCCGCAATTTAAAGAAAGAATACAAGAAGAAGTGTGAGGGTCACGAAGATGACAATGCCGATGGCAGCAAATTTTTTGAAAAAAATGTTAGTGATTTCAATGTTATGAGTTGATCTGTAGTATATCCATTGCTTTTCTTATACAATTGCAGTGTATATAAGCCTTAATCCTGAATATTGTATAGGAATTTTTTGAGTGTGATTTGCCCCGGCCGGAGGAAGCTGTCAATGAAGATGAAGGTTTTCATGGACAAAATGTAGAGAAGGTGATTTAAGTTGTATGAGTTTGTAGTTTTCATCTTGTTATGTTATATAATATCAATTGCTTTTCTTGTACAATTGCAATGTATACAAACTTTAATTCTGATTATTATCACAGGAATTTGTTGGGTGCGATTTGCCTCTGGAGGAGGAACTTGCCCATGATGAAAAAACTACTGAACAGGTATTTGTAATTGATCATTGCTAGATAACCATTATATCCTCTATATTTTGAATTAATTAAGAATATATTTTTTATCATTGTTATAGCAACAAGTGCAAACTGAGGGAGCGGATTGTGAACCTCCCACAAAGAAACAAAAATGCGATGCAGAAATTGATGTTGACCCAATGAGTTTTTTTTCACTTGGGTTAACACAGGATTTGAGAATGTTGTTAGACTTATGAAGGAAGATTCGCCAACCAAAATTACGCTGAGTACTTGCAAGGTATAACTAATTATATATTGCCTTTTAGCTTTGTTTATAATTTCATGTATAAAACCTTTTTTAAGACTAATGAATTTATTTGGCAGGAAATTGTTTTACATGAGTCAACTGAACGAGAAAACATCCACTCTCCAATGTCCTCCTTTCCCAAGCTCCAGACAAAAGAAATTAAGGTTCATCGCGATTGATTGCCATCGAAAGTTTTATGTTCTCCCTATGAAACTTCCTCCAGTATTTTTGATGTGTTCAAGTTGAGTGAGGAGGAAGAGAGGACTGTCAAGTGGGCATTTTATTTACAGCGCGCATCAACGGCTGACTTAGGAGATATTATTTTTTCGGATGGAGTCACTGTGATATTCAAGCATGATATCCAGAGTTTAAGTCCATCATCCGACGTTGCAAGCAACGTGGTTGATGCATTTGGTACCTTTCTGAATAGATCAGCTTTAAGAGAAAGCAAGCACAGCGGTGTTCCAATGCCCAAGTTTTGTGTATCATATAGCATGGCTGTGAGTATATATTTACATGTGCATAAAATATGTATCGACGATAATTATTGATCATATTTAATGCTAACTCGTTGAGTATTTGATGCTTATGGCAAATCTTAACTGATGCTATATTTTTCTATGCATCTAGTATATGGTGCACATTGAGATCGAGAATAATTTTCCCTGGAAAACTGACAAAGAACTGGTGAAGGAATAAGAACGACAGTTGGACATAAAATACCTTGGCAACGATCGGATTGAATGCTTAAAGGCTGACAATGTGAGATTTTTTCTTATGTATATATGGAATGCTGAGTTTAACAAGCTGAAATGATGATATGATGCTTTATGATATGCTAAGTTAATTTTGTGTATATTATTGCAGTTCTTTTTCTCATTCTGTCGTTCGAACAACTGGGTGTTGTTTTCCGTGTCCATGCTTCGTAAGAAAATTTTTTATTTCAATACCTTAAATGCTGTTGATGGATGGAATTCAAACTCAGTGGATTTTGAACGACTTTTTGGGTATTTCCGATGGGATGCAAGGATATTATTTCCCGACCCACGGTGGGATGCTCATTATACAGTTGAGTTGCCACCCCATGTTATGCAGCCGGATATCCACAGTTGTGCTGTTTTCACTATGTTCTACATGGAAAACTGGCCCATTGACTTGATTGGGCAGGTTTGTGAGCAAATTGTCAGGCGTGAATTTTTGGATAGATTGCGAAAAAAGTATTGTGTACAAATCTTATTGCAGGAGGAGAATCATAATATTAGGGATGTGAAAGAGAGGTCATTGCTTGCTTCTGGTGCTGAGATTGCATGCGCTGAAGATGAAAAAGCTGATGCGCAACCGTTGAAGGGTCATATTAAGATGGCTACACGAAAATGTATTAGTGTGCAAGGGCAAGGTCGAGGGTGAGGGCAAGGGCGAGGGCGTGGTCGAGGACAAGGTCGTGGGCAAGGCAAAAATTGAGTGTATATATATGCTGGCAAAAATTGAGTGTATATATATGCTGGCAATAATTGTATTTTTTGCATAAATTCATGCTTGATATTCAGGCTGCTCGATGTTAAATCAGGAGATGCTAACCGGTACATAGTAAAATGATTGGCTTCATGTATATATATGCTGGCAGATTTGTAGAAAATGCTTATTGGTACTCAGGATGATGCTTATTGTTATTCGAAAAAATCCATGGTCTTGTATATGTAAGTGCTTAGCGTCAATTATTCACAATACTTTCGTAATAAATCATGTATGAACTGGCAAAAAATCAATTTCCTTACATTTATCCCGGTGGTTATCTCTCTTATTTATCCTTCGATACTTCTTTTGTCTCTCATAGTTGCTGATTGACACATTTCTTTTAATTCTTCCTTTTGGGTTGTCTCTTGGCTTCAATATTAAATGTCCTGCAGTGGTTGTATTACGCATTTCTCCTGTAGCATGAAGAATCGATTAGTTTAATATCATATATATTTCAATGAATATAAATTATATACAAAACGTAACTGTTGTTTTCATCCGTCGCCATTCCTCCATACAAATTTGGGCATGCAACTATGTTGCGAAGCAATTCATTGAATTTATGTAAGAATGGACTGTAATTCTTCGGCTCAGATGCTATTAACTTTGCAGAATTCATGAACAAGTGGCACAATGATTTGTATCTTCCTGAAAAATCCATTTCCTCCCGAGTAGATGTTAAGCTTGCGAGGTGCTGCTGTAACATCCTTCTAGCATCTTTTCTCCATCGATTCAATATGTATTTGTCTGGGATGTTTTCGAACTGTGCACACCCTGTTGCAACTAATACATCCATCGTTCGTATTGAATGACAACACAACATTCCAGTATTTTTCCATATATTGCACGTGCACTCAATTGAAGACTCTTGAATATTGGTGCGCACAAGATATTGATCGCTTGTCTTCTCCATATTATATACAAGATATGTTGTCTTTTCATCTAAGCATTGTGTTATGAATCCAAAGGATCTTTGGTGTTGCTCTAGAAACCATTGAATGATATTCGGTGTGTAGAACATAGATGCAGATTTTATCAATGGGTTGAACATGTGACTTGTAGCCAACCGTCTGTCACGTGCGAAGAAATCTTGTTGTTCTTCTTTTTCTCTATGATTCTCCACCACTCGTTGAAATTGATGAAAAAACTGAACAATATTATTGTCCAATTGTAAAAACCTGTTCAGCATACTCATGTTCAATAAACATAATATACAAAGAACAAACTCAACATTCTAATCCATTGATTTCAGCAGACAATGCAAGTAAAGAAGAAGCTAAAGCTTAGGGGCTTGTAGGTTGCCTTTTCTAACCTTTTCAGTGAGAAGTTAAGTGATTCGCTCAGTTGTGTTGTTCTCATCCCTGCAGTAAAGTGTTGTTTTGTCCAAGCCAAAGACCATTGTTGTCTCAATGAATAAATATTTAGTAGCCACTTATTAGGCTCTTTGGAGAAGCATGCCTGCAACATATACTCCCACTTGAGGCTGAATTGATTTTCATCTTGTACCCCGTAGAGACTATGTTGAAACATCTCAGCAAACCTGTGTGTACAATGCAAGTAGAGTAGTTGTAGGTGTCTTCGACCCTCAAATTCATCATTTAGCTATAAGAATTCCAACATACCTTGTAGTGTAAAGAACATTGAGATTTTTTTTGGCATTTTGTACAATATGCCATGTGCACAGAGCATGGTATGTCGTTGGCATTGTCTTTCTTAGTGTTGGAGCCATAGCCAAATCTTAATCCATAAAAATGGTTTTCGGTGCTTGTCCACCCATACACTTTAGGAAGGTATTGAAAACCCACTTGAATGAATCTTGTGTTTCCTCGTACAACAATGCTGCTCCAAATATAGATGTTTGGCGGTGGTTATTAAATCCCACGAAAACACCTGAATATAAAATATTTTTAGGATCAGATATATACATAAGACGCTGTGTGAGATATATAAAGATGCTGAAAGACAGTATTCACAATGCTGACTAATTGACGATGAAATGCTGGTTAATTGAGATGAAATGTTGACTATGTTTTCCTAGTGGTATGTGGTTCTTATTTGTTTGGAATGTGGTATCAAATGTAATAGAATCCCCAAACAATGCATAGTCTTCCCTCATTTTTGCATCTGACCAGAATATATTAGCAATCTTATCTTCATAGTCGACTTCAATTTCATAAAAGAATAAGGGATTATCCACCGATCTTTGGCCAAAATACTGCAGTAATGCATTTGTTTCACCCTCATTGAAAATTTCTTTCCTTCTTTTCTTCATGTGATTCTTCAGGTCCAACTTAAAAAACCCCACATTGTCCTTTCCTCCAGCGGCTATTTTCATCAAATCCTACGATGATCTGATTGGTAGTCCAGCTTCCTGATTTGTATTCGCAATGATTAAATGTGATTCATCAATCCTACGATTGGATACAAGCATGTGCTTGTGTTTTGGAGGATATAGATCATGATTGTGGTTGTCTTCAAAGTTTGTCACTTTGTACTTTGCATTCTCCTTGTCAAACTGAAGCCGTATCTTTGAATTACAGCCTGTTCTCGTTTCATGACTACGATGCATGATCTTTATCCTTTCTGACTCGCTGCTTTTGTTTGGATGAATCTCAGGATGATTTGGTTTCACATTGCTACCCTCTTTGAACCCTGCTTTGTTGCAACAATACTCCATATTGTATCTGTTGCGGGTCATTTTTGAACTTTTTCTGCATTTTTATCCTCACTGAAAAGCCCATATTGTGTACATACTCACAATAGAAATTGTATGCATCATCCGGTTTTGCAAACTCCATAGCATGCCAATCTATAAACTCTGCACATATAGAATGCTAAATTATGTTAATCAAAATGCTGACCACCATATTTCAATATGCTTTACGATAAATGGCAAGATGCTGATATCTGTATCAAATACAATCACATATCATGCTGGTAATTAAAATGAGATATTGTTCTCTTCATATGGAAATACAATCAGATATCAAAACTGATGCTACATTTTATTTTTAGTAGTAGTTTGAAGGCTCTGATTGAATTGCGAATGCTAAAGATTATTTACAAAATTTCAAACCGCTAAACAGAATCGCGTAATTTCAATGAAATCGATCACAGAAGGTTACGATGTTCACGATTTCAAGTCAATTGTCGATGGGTAACTTACGCGATTGAACGATTTCTCGTTATGGCGCGTCTGGTATTGGCAAAGGCGTTGGGTCATCTGAAATTGGAAACTCTTTGATGTCTCAATTGCTTGCTGAGCGATTGAATGTGGTTAGAATAATGGAAAATTGATTCTGCTCACCTTCGTCGATATCAACCATTGAAGAATGAAGGAGAGTGAAGAATGAAGAATGGCGTTTCTCCCCACGATTGCTGCGTGAAAGAGCAAAGGAGAGTGATGTTTGATGTAATTATATAAATTAGGGTTATTAAAATTACAATTACACCCTTAATTTAATATTAGCTATTGGATTAAAGTTTTTAATCCAATGGCTAATATGCAATCAGCACAATGCTGATGCTTAATTTTCAACATGTAATCCTACCCCATTATGCTGATGCTTAATTTTCAACATGTAATCCTACCCCATTAAAGATGTATTGTTTGTATAGGTTGCCACTAACATATATTTTGTATTAAAATTACGTTTACACCTTCAATTAAATATTAGTATTTAGTTCTCACATTAAGAATTGATTTAAAGATTAGGAGTTAATCAATACTATGTTGATTATCATTAATCATCAGCACCATCATCATCCCACAATCATAATAATAATAATAATAATAATAATAATAATAATAATAATAATAATAATACTCCCTCCGTCCCATAAAGAAGTATTCATTTGTTTTTTGTACGTAGTTTTAGAAATATTAGTATTATATTGGAATATAGTAGGAATAAAGTAGAAATGACTAAAATAACCTTATTAGTATGTTTGATATAAAGGTAATGACATTTGTGTAATAAATTGTAAGTTGTAAGGATATTTGTAATGTTAGGTAGATAGTACAATTACCAAAAAAGAAAATGAATACTTTGTTATGAAACGGACTAAAATGAAAAAATAAATATTTTATTATGGGACGGAGGGAGTAATAATAATAATAATAATAATCCATTCGTCCGTCCATTTAAAGTTTTCTTATTTTTTTTTTGTTTTAATTTGTTCATTCAAATCTTTTCCTTTTTTTTTTTTTTAAAGGAAAGTGATATCTCACATAAATACAAAATATATCTATTTTATCATCAAATCATTATTTTTATACCAAAAAATAAAGATAAAATTATTTTTATATACATTATTTGTACTATACTTTAATAAAATACTAATATTCTAAATTCACATGCCCAAAAAAAAACAAAAATTATTAGTGAACAAAAATTATAATAGTAATGATAATAAGAAAAAGAAGGTAAAAGTTGAGAGATGTATTTTTCCGTGTATATATATACAAGAGGTGTTATTGTGATATCATTTAATATGATGCTGAGATCATATTAAATATAGATCAACAATACATTAAATATAAATTAATGTTACAAAATTGTGTTATAAATAATACAAATATAAAATTGACAATGTATAACAACAGTTCACATAATATATGTTATTATTGATCTCAATACCTACAAAAATACGATCACCTAGCACACTTGTAAAAAAATATGAATCATCTAATACATGATTTTTAATCAGCAACACAATATGTTGTCAGTTCTTCTCCTTTTCTTTTCTTTTTTTTTTTTTTTTTTTTTTTTTTTAAAATTTTGTTTTAACTTTTTTATAATTTCATAGATTGGTATTTAATTGTCGGTTCTATTTGCTTATTAAGCATAGTATTAATTATTCCTAATAAGCACTCTAATCATTCTCATAAATATTTGATGTTTTTAAGATAAATATGCAATATTTTATATAAAAATTATATATTATGTATAATATATCCTTTTTTGAGTTGGGGTGGTGACAAACTGTAAAGCCATGGAAATGAATGAAAGAATATGGGCTTTCTCTGGCTCTGAGTCACACACAGTACGTAGTATTAGTACATACATATGAATGCACGAATAATTCGCCTATGATTCAACAACCTCCATTAACAGCACCCTAAATTAATTAATAATATGCACTTACAGATACAAACTATGGGATATTTAGCACAAGACTCATTCACACATTTAAAAAAAAAAAAAAATACTATTGATAGCATATGAAAATTTAACATACAATACATGTACTGTCTTTTATGTATATCTTATAAATTTATATATAATATACTTCCTCTATCATCCAATTGTGTGTGCTCATTTGATCGGATATGAGTTTTAAAAACATAGATAAAAATTAAATTTTTTATTTTTCTGGGTAAAAAAAAAATAAAAAAATAGTATTTTTATTAAAAAAAGAAGTTATAATAAATTTGGATAATAAAAAAAAAAAAAAACATAGATTTTGATGATAAAGAGAGTAGCATACTATCTAATATATTTTACTGTGATATTAATAAGGTGCCTAATAAACTGCCGCCTATTTACATATACATACACATATATATACAGTCAACACCATACATTTACTATTTTATTTAAACAGTCATCAAATCAAATAAAAAATTTCATGCATGCCATAGCACCCACCCCCCTGATCTTGGGGTGGGTGGGGGACCGGGACCCTATCTTCTTTCATCTTGAATACGAAACCTCATTCACTCAACAATGTAATAGTAATTTTAATGGTAATGATAATAGACTCCACTCCAGTCCACAATATATATATATATATGTATGTATATAAATGAATGCCTCGTGGAGACCAATCAATGTTCAATGTTGATCAATTATGGGCACAATTATGCAATCAATCTCCTAAAATAAGTACACCACATGCAAAAACCTAGCTAGCTTCATTTTAGGTCAACAATCAAATTAAGGCTTGCTGTGCAATTTGCAATCCACCCACCCACCCCACCCCATATATATGCACAAAAACAAGACAAACATACAAACAAACAAAAAGTAGTATTAAATTAATTTCTATTTATTTTTTTCACTTGTGAGTTTTTAGAGGAATGAATGGTTCTTGGAAGCGGCCGGGACCTCCACGCCAGGTGGATGAATTAATGGCGTGGATGCTACGGGTGTTGAGGTCCTTGGACCTCTTAAGAATCCTGAATCCAGCTACTGCTACTGTATTGACTTGCTTTTGTTGCATTTATAGAGTACAGCCATGTCCTGGTGACTTTTAAAAACCTTGTTTTTGCAACCTCTTATAAATGAAGTACAGCAGCACCACTTGTTGTTCCAACTTTGAAGACCCTTTTTCTTATTACAGTCTTAGACAGGCCTAGCTACCTCTATTCAAGTCACCATAGAGTCTTCTTAATTCATTACAAGAAACAAAGAAATCATCATGGGAAGACCACCATGCTGTGATAAAGTTGGGATCAAGAAAGGCCCATGGACTCCAGAAGAAGACATCATTTTGGTGTCTTATATTCAAGAACATGGCCCTGGAAATTGGAGGGCAGTCCCTACAAATACTGGTACATATATATATATATATCAAGATTACAGTTATTTCCCCGTATATGTATGTATGTTGATTTGTTCTTGATACTGTAGGATTGATGAGATGCAGCAAGAGTTGTAGGCTGAGATGGACAAATTACCTTAGGCCTGGAATAAAAAGGGGAAACTTCACCCCACATGAAGAAGGGATGATCATACATCTCCAAGCTTTATTGGGTAACAAGTAAGTTTTAGGGTTTGAAGATTAAAAAATTAAAAACCCTTTTGGAATTTGATTCTTATTAGCTTTGTCTATCTATTGTAATTATTGGGATTTTACAGATGGGCTGCAATAGCAACGTACTTACCACAAAGAACAGACAACGATATCAAGAACTACTGGAATACGCACCTCAAGAAGAAGCTCAAGAAATTCCAATCTGCCAATTTGGAGCCCCAAATTGCATCATCGTCATCTTCTTATCACCAATTCATCTCCAAGAATTACGATCCAACAGGCCGCGACAACAGCTCGTCGTCATCTGTCTACGCCTCGAGTGAGGAGAACATTTCGAGACTGCTCGAAGGTTGGATGAGATCATCTTCATCATCATCCACCATTACTGCTGCTGCTGCAGCTCATTCGAGCTTTGCCAATAATCCGGCGGGCCGGCGCGATCCGGGGTTAGTCTCCGGCGAGTGTTACAAGGCGGCGCAGCAAATCGAAGAGGCGATGATGATGAACAATGATCATGAGCTGGAGTCGATGTTGTCATTCGATCAGCACAACAATAATTTGATGGAGAAATCTTCCTGTGATTCGAGCCAGAAAGGATCTGACAGCAGTGGCTTGATGGATCATGATTGTTTTGATTTTGAAAAGAAGCCTAAGATCGACACCAATAATCCGCCATTGTCGTTTCTTGAGAAATGGCTGCTCGATGAAACTGCCAATCAGGTTGAAGGTGTGATGGAACTCCCTCCAATATTCTAGTTAGATTAATCAATTAATTATATTATTGCCAAATTATAAATTAATGAAATCTGTGTTAATTTCATGAGTTTTTTAGGCTTTAATAAATAGAATTAGATGCAGAAATTGCAATGTTAGAGCTTCAAACCCGAGTTGGATAAACATCCACTCTTTCTCCCTTTTATTTATTTATTTTTTCTTCAATTAGAAATGATCATCAGTCTTTATCTATATTATTACTAATGTCTTCATGATTAATTTTCCATGTTAATTATTTATTTATTAAGAGTATTCATTTTTTGTCTCATATTGTGTTGATACAATTTTTTAAAACTCAAATATTTTAAATAATGTGGGAGATTGTATAAACGATTTAATATAGGTCTTATATATAAATAGTCATGTGGCAGTCATGTGAAGAAATAATATTGTGTCGAGCTAAAAATACTTATATATATTCCAATAAAAAAAAGTTATATTAGTATTCAACGAAATTCTCTCTCTCTATATATAATTTAAATATTATAATAATTATATTCATATAATTCTTTTGATTTAGCATAACACTTATATAGAACTCTTTAAATTATGTTAGAATTTGATTATATTAAAAATAATAATCAAGAAACACGTGGTAGGCATTCAAATTTGGTAGTTATTTTACCTGATTATATAAATTTGTCATAAAATTCTAGATATGAAATGTCTAGTTTTGTATATATCTTGTCTCTACGATCCATTTACACAAGAAAAATAAAATAAAAATTTAAATTTGGGGGAGAAATAATGTGTTTTTGTTTAAAACTGTAATGTTAATTTTAATTTTAAATCACAAAAATAAAATCTAAATATAATGAAAAGTACTGACTTAACAACCACTGCAGCAAGCGATGAAAAATTCATCTATTTATATTTGTGTATTTCTAGTGTAAAATATTATTATTATTATTATTATTATTATTATTATTATTATTATATTCTGATCATTCTTCTGAAGAAGGAGATATATTGAATTTTGTCAGAGTTGTAGATTAGGCATATTTATTAGGCCGACGGTAGAGATAGCGACAGCAAAATAGGCAATAGGTGGAAACCACCATGGCATTAAATATTTCCATGGCCAAAGAAAATGAGTGCTCAAATTGCCACTCTACATAGCCCCCATAATAATAATAATAATAATAATAATAATAATAATAATAATAAACCCCAACTTAAATGCTTTTTTTTATGTTTGCGTTTGATTATTTGGTTGTGTTTTTTTTTTTTTGAAGTAATTTATGAATGGTGAGATTTTAAATTAAAATATTGTTTTATTTGATATACAAATAGATGTTTTACGTGATGTTTTGAATAAATTAAATATATAATAAATTTATATTAATTTTTATTAAAGAAGAAAAAAATATTATAGATGAACAAGTGTGTTCATTTTGTATTTTTTAATGAATATATTTTTTACGGTCTTATTTATTTATTTATTTTTGTTGATATTTGAATATTAATTATTATATCAAAATATAGTACAAATTAAAAAGGAATTGCAAAAATACTTTCATTAGTGTCTTATAATACTAATAGAATGATATTTATACAAAAAAAAATTAAATGTAAGAATATTTTTAATTTTAAATATAATGATGCAAAATGTGAACGTGACCTTATAGGCGGACCGAAAAAGTATAAAAATAATATTTTGTATTTTATTGTTGATTTTTTAAAATAGATAAATTATACGTGTGTTAATATTAATTCATGTATATATTGTATTTTTTTAATAATATCTATAAAGAATTATATCACTAAAGAACAAAGTGAATAAACTTCAAAATACAGGGAAAAAAATAATAAATGTGGTAAATATAATCAGAATATTTTTGGTAATGTCATAGAAAATTACTCACGTATATATTACTATAAGATGATTTAACAAAAAAATAAAATAAACAAAATAAATAAAATCTACTTCTGTTTCTCTAAGGTGCGGATAAAGTTTCTAGTCTTACAACTTAAAAAAAAAAAAAGAAAAAAGAAACTTAAAATTATTAAATAAAATATTTATTTTTTATTTGATATATTATTAAAAATCTCATTTTAAAATATTTTTTCAATTATTATTTTAATTAAATTTTTATTATTTCTAAATTAAAAATTCAAATTCAAATATTAGAAGAATATACTGCATTTGTATTGGATTGTGACTGCTGAATATTACTATAATTAAACATATTCATATATAGCTTAATAATTTTTTATTTGATTCAGCAAATTTTGGTCATAAAACGGTATATAAACATTCAATATATTTATACTATACTCCAACACTTTAATTTTAAGATTCAATAAATTAGCACAATTGTTGAATAAATTGTTCTATGCTCAATATAGGTAACTATAATTCAAATAAATAAAACACTATGCAATGAGGTTTTATGGGAATTAGCCTAATATTTATATAGTTCACTAGATTTTTAGAAATGTATTTATATGAAAATAATATTTTAAATCGAATTATTAAATATTTTGAAAAAATAGAGTGTATATGTTATTTATATTATCTTAATGTGTGTATATATTGTATTACATCCGTCCGTGCTAATTATACCACAATGTCCGAATAAGAAGACTTAGAAATAATTGTATTTTAATGTAGAAATATGGCAAATAAAAAGTAAAATGAATATATTATAAAAAGTTTATACAAAAATTAATTCTAGAATAGTGAGGTAAATAAAAAACAATATTAGCAAATTAGTTACTATTTATTAAAGTATATGTAATGAAATTATGGATGAATAAAGTGGCTAAGGTCCCAATAAAAGAATGAAACATGATATAATCATTCTGAATAGAGAGAATAATTTTTATTAATATTTATTGAGATATATATCAGAAAAAAATTGTGGATGATTATTACTAAAAAAATTTAAATTCACGTCAGTATTTACTACATAAAACGTTTCTACCTCTGGGGATTAGATATAAGATAAAAGTTTAATACTTATTAGCCTAAAAATACATTTACACCATCTCCAACCCATAACTCTATTTTTGCAGAGTTTACATTATATTTCTGCATTTGTGCAGTGGTAACCCATCTTCAACCATACCATCTATTTTTGCAAGTCTTTTCTTCAACCATATCCTCAATTTTTGTAGGGTTAAAAAATATTCTCTTTATATTTTATTTTACATCATTTTTAAAATTATAAATAAAATTTAATATTTTATTAATTTTATACATTTAAGTTATAATAATATTTTTAATTAATATTTTAAATATTATACTCATAAATTATATTTATTAATATTTTAATGTATATTTAAATTAAAGCATAAAAATATTAATATTATTAAAAATATAAATATAGATTAAAAAAAATAATATTATTGGATTAAACATAATTACTACAACATAACTAATCGGTAGAGTTACTATACTCTTCCCATATATGTTCAATTAAAGCATCGCGTGGTTTAAAATGAGTTTATCTACTTCTAATTTGAGCATATCGCTCAAGAAATTGATGATAGCATTCTTGATCTGTAGTCATTTCCACCGTTGCGATTGATACAAAATAAGCTTAAAACAAAATAGAAAAAGAATAAAATAAATAAAATATAAAAATATAAACAAAATAAAAAAATTAATACAATTTTTTATTTTATTGATAATATTTAAAAAATTAAAAATTAAATAAATATAAAAATGGAATAAATAACTACATAAATAAATAGATAATATTAAAAAAAAAAAAAGGTAATTATATAAATAAATAGATAATTATATTAAAAAAAGAAAAAATTCACCTGCTGGAATAGTGGGTAAATTCTGCAAAATTGCAGGGTGGGTTGGAGCAGTTTTTTTCTCTACACCCTGCAAAAATAAAGGAAATCCTCTTCGGTTGGAGATGGTCTTAGTACCCTTATGTAATTCGGCATATTTTTTATAGCAAAACCCCCCAAAGCATTAGAGTTTGTTTGTTTGTTTGTTTTTTTTTTTTTTTCAAAAATTTTTACACATTTTTCTAAAAAAAATTACTATATCATACACACTCATTATTTTTTATATTACATACACAATTCTTTGTGCATCACATAAATTATTTTTTCTTCACAAAAAACACAAAGCAAACACACATATTATTTAATCAGTAATAATTAACTAATTAATATAGATATGTTCACTTTATATTTTTTTATACGTTTCTATAAATTTTACTTCCTCCGTCCAACATATCGTATTCATATTATCATGTACGTACGTTCTATATCTCATGTCACCTTTTTTTTTTTAAAAAAAAAGATTATCTAATTTATTCTTAGAAAAAATTGCAAAAAATATTCCACATGTATACCACATTATCACTTTTGTCATATATTTATCTCGTTGGCAAAATATATTCTATATGTTTACAAAAGTCGCTATTTCTATTATTTGACCGCGTGTGGTGTGAACGTCACGCACGACCAAATAACCGAAAAAACGACTTTTGTAAACATATAGGATGTATTTTGCTAGCGAGATAAATATAGGACAAAAGTGATAACGACGCTTTTTTAATCTTATTTTAAATTTTCTAATTTATAATTTTAAAATTTTAATTAAATTAGTTTTAATAATATATTATTAATTATTTACTAATTATATATCTAATAAATTCTTGTGTGTAGTAAAGTGGATACCATAGATGGGACCGAGTATTAAAAAATATATATATATATATACATTAACACAATATATATAATATACTACATACTTTATTCATTTATAAAAATTCAATATTTCAATACAAAATATTAATTATTATTATTTTTTTTTTAATTTCTATAACAACACAATTCTCGGTACCAAATATAAAAAATACATTGATCGAAAATACACAATGAACACATCCATCTCAATTAATTAATTAATTAATCAAGAAGTGAAATAGAAGAATATATATCCTGTAGTCTCAAAGTCAAATAAAGAGAAGTAAAGTTGGTGGGGGCGCATGCAGAAATAATGAATAGCCGCCGGCGGTGAATAGTGCAGCTGGAACTGGAAGGCTTGTGTGTGTGTGTTATAATTTTCAGAAAAAGGGATGCAAGAATAGGACATGTTCATATGAATAGGAACACAGAAGCAAAGCAAATTAATTGATAAGGGAGAGGGAGGGAGGGAGGGAGGAGCCCTCAAGGTTTAATTTAATTAATTTGACAGCACAGTGTCACGATAGTCTTGCCACTACTGATCAATACATACATATATATATATATAATTATTATATATGCATACGCATGCAATGCTAAACAAATACTG